TCTTGCTTTCCCTTACCCTCCCTACCCTTCCCTACCCTACCTCGAATTGCTTATGAAAAATAAAGGTAATTATAACAGGTTTAGGCACATGGAAAATGATGATAAATACAAAAATTAGTATATAAAACCTGTATTACTACAGATCACATCATTTACACGTGAAAATTCCCTCATTTGTACGCGTAATTTTTAATCTTAACGCGCGTCCTTTTTCAAAAGTCGAGCTAATCAAATCGTGGGAAAATGGTTCAACGTGATTGACCAATGAACCTAACTTACCAGAGATGTTCACTTCTAGAGATATAAACTTCTCTGCATCGTCATCATTTGACTACAGCTACCATATTATTTAAGATTTAAAACTAACAAGGATTCTGGTTGTGTAAACGACTTACCATGTGTAATATTTGATCTGTTATGAAGGATACCTCACCTGGGTTCAGAAATTCAGTTCATCGACGACATGGTGGACAGTCACGTGCATGTAGGAGAACAAGGACACATGTTTACAACGCTAAAGGTGACACAGAATATGAAATATGGAATTCCACAGCAGCAATTTTGGGACAGTATTACTGCATTGCTCGACAGTTAGCAACGGGAATTAGAGGTGGAATTGAGTTCACAATGGGTGATAGTGCATGATACCTACTTAGCTCATTTTTGTCCCGTGTCTTTCCACGTAACAAGTCACAACATTGTTTTAATTTCGATTCCAGTCATACATTGATACTTTCCACCAAATATCAGATCGAAAAGTGTAATATTCGAGCTGTATGTATAACTTAATAATTTTATTTAGTTATTTATTTATTTGTTATTAAGTTTTCTTTACTCTCTAATAATAGTGTAATTGTCACACTGTAACGGTAACAAATTTCGTAACCTTAGGAAAGTTTCCTTGCTTATTTACTTTGTTTTGTAGGTTTTTCCTCTTTCTTTCTTTGTTAATATTTTTGTCATTTTGTCCACAGGCTTCCTTTTTTCAGATTCAAAATGAGAAAGGCTGATGGTACATTGTAATCATTTAGAAAGATATCAAAGACGATATATGAGCAGTCCAAAGACAACTAAATGCTGCAGTAAAATTTGCTGTATAAATCTTTGATTGGTAACTTCAATACTAGATTACTTTTCACACAGTATGTGTTCAGTTAGCACAGTTGTTGCCATTTTCCAGTAACTACTCTTTTACATTTCTGTATCATTTTGTATAGAAAGGATCCGATATTATATACACAAGAGCTATTTAAGGAAGGGAACCCGGCCTCGAGAGTCCTCATGGGCCTGATGAGGATGAGTGAGAGAGTGAGAGGAAGGAAAACATTTTTAGTGACCGTACATATCTGAAAGAAAACATATCTGAAAGGGTTTGGAAATTTTGTTGCCCCTCTCTTGTGACGAAGGAAAAAGAACTGAGTCCCCAACGAGCTACAGGGAGATTTGCGGCAAGATTGGTGTCCTGCACACTGATGTCAGCGATGTCGAAAAGAGAAAGATGAAATTTTCGGTTACGAGCGCAATTTTTTTAGTATATTACGCTAGTAGTATTTGGTAGTGTATAAGTGGTACTGTGGGTAATGGCAAATCTGACGTTTATTATTATCAGAAAGGGTATTTATAAGCTGAAGACTCTTCAAGAACTCTTTTAATAAAAAATAGAGCAGTTAGCCAATAAACTATTCTTAATAAAGTTGCAATTTTATTGTGAAGACACTTGTTTTCACGCTTGGGTTTTGGTTTGCTTTTCCAGACAATTAATTGAATGAACTGAAATAAACGGCATACAGTGTATGGATAGGTGATAGTGAGTGGTTCCACTTTATGTATTGTCTATTATAGTTTAGGTTATCTCTATTTTTATTAAGTTCAAAATCTTAAAATTTGGAAACGTTTTCAAACTTCAAATAGGTAAAGTTATGTATCTTTGCAAAAAGCGATTTCTTCCTGAAAGTTTCAATGATATGTTTTTACTTCGCCATGACGTTCATAAATACAATACTAGAAGTAAGAATTCCTTCCGTTTGCCCTTATGGGCCGGGTTGTTCGAAAGCCGGTTAACACTAACCTAGGATAAATAGCTAACCGAAGTAACAATTGTTCTTGTATGAAAATGTTTTTCACTTCTTTTGTTTTTGAATAGTTTGAGACTCAAGCTCAAAACTGAAGGACAAACAATATAAACAGGAAACCTAACCGAAAAACCACACTGAAACTGAAATTAAAATTCTCGTTAATCCTGGGTTAGCTTAATCGGGCTTTGAACAACCCGGCCCTGTAGGACAAACGTAAGGACATTCTCAGTCCGTTTTCAAGGTCCCAGAACTGAACTTCAAAATGCCTCTAGTATTGCTGTGTTCACTTCTTAACTTAAGTCATCCTTCTTCAAGAAGAATATACTTACACCAAGAATCTTGGTATAAGTATATTTATTTCTCTTAGTGTGCTTGTGTGTTGTTGTTGTTGTTGTTGTTGTTGTTGTTGTTGTTGTTTTTCGCTTTTTTTGTCTTCCTTTGCTTTTGCGCTTTCGCCTGACTACTTTTTATCCTAAATTATGATCATTTTGTGTGCCGATGACAGCATTTTTATTCTTTTCTTTTTTTGTCTAGGGTATCTTTAAGAACCTCAAAGGTAGTCCCTTGGATAACGCTTATTGGCTTCCCTGGGCTTCCTTGCTTTACACGTTAATATTTTGTAAATATGTTTGTCAATGGCAAATAATAATAATAATAATAATAATAATAATAATAATAATAATAATAAAACAAGCAAACAAACAATAATTTATATGAATTATATCTTGAATCTTGGCTACCGAAAAAATTGTAACAAATAAACTTTCAGTTGTGATTCATCTTGTCGCAAAGTCTTTCCATGTGACAGTTGTACCGTCCAAATCGACCCGAGTTACACATTCTGTGTGTTGAAATGTTTATGCTTCTTACATCAATATGAACATGCGTTTTGCCTTTTGTGCAAAGTGGTTAGGTATATACCTCCTTCGTTTGTTATGTGATGCTCTGTCAGTACATACTTTAAATGTACATTTTCACGCGTCTGTTGATCCTCTTGCCTGTTGTACACACCCAGTTCAGGCAAGACAACCGTATCGGTTGCCTGTATTTGGTTTTGTCGCCTATAGTGGGTGGGGCAACTCGTAAATTTGTTAAACCGTAGGCGGCTCGGCATTTGTTAATTGAGGTTAAATTACACACCATTATAAGCGAGCGAATTACTAGACAAAATTGTAAGCCGTAATTTATGCTCAAAACATGTTCCTCCGACGAAAAGCTCAACTACTACGAAGGGGCGTAGCCAGAGGGGGGTGGAGCTGGGAGCCCGCCTCGCTCCCTTTTGTGGTGGATAGTTTATCTCTACGTAAAAAGCAGTCTTAAATAAGCGTGTGCGTTTTTTACGAGAGTCGCTTTGAAAGTTGCGATAGGTAAAAAAAAAAAAACCACATTTTTGCACTTTTGTCTCCACCCACCTCATGACCATCAAGTCTGAGACCGCTATTTGAAGGGTTTACCCCGACTTTTCGAAAAGAGAAGACATGTGGAGACCCATTACGACAGACCGAGTTTCGCAGAAAACGAAAGCGTGTTGATAGCCTCAACGATATGTCTCATCAGCCAGTAGCGGATTGGACGCTCTTCGAAGCTGTTGTGTCGTATATTTTTCTAACATACACATGCTGTTTCGAATCCTGTGCACTTTAGCGGTAACTTCAGCTGCGAGCGAGCGGTCCTTCAGCCTTCTAAAGCGGCTGAAAATATGCTTGGGCAATACAGTGAATGCCGAAAGAGAATCTTCACTGGCGCCTATGAATGTACACTACAACAGACTATCTATCGACGTTGATGCTATCATTAATGTCTTTGATACGTAGCAGGCCTCGCTGCTTATTATTTGCAGAAATTTAGAATGATAAGGGAGACTCGCTATATAAGCAATGGTAAACGTGCAGCGTGCAACTATCGAGTTTTTTTACAATAACTGCAGAAATTCTAGCGCACTCATTGGTTAATTTTCATCGTCAATAAGCGGACAGACGCATGAATTTATAATTTACGCGATGTTGACGCGACGAGCGAGAGCGGGCAATCTGACAATTTGTTATTGTAAACAATGTAGTTGCAACGGTAACTTTATCTGACACCTACAAATTCGAAAAAAGAACAGCAAAATTTAAAACAAGAACGATATCAAGGCACGTATGCATTACGGAATATTTTATCGCAATCCTGAAAACGGTATTTGGGCCCACCCCAAGGCAAAATCCTACGCCCCAATTTACGATGAGTAGAATCTTGCCTTTATTATCCTCTCGTTTATTAGTGACCAATCGATTAAGGCCTTTGGTGTCTAATTTCTAGTGCCATCAAAACTGTTTCACCAGTGGTAAGTTGCAGTCCAACTCCCGGTTTCTGCTAATCGGCATTCACTAATTCCCATAATTTATATCTTCATCTCTTTCGATCATCACTTTCGCCATTTGTTCTGATTTTTTGCAGTATACATAGTTTTCGCATCCAGTTTCAGGCTAAGTTGGGCTCTCGCGATCAGTATTGGTTGGGGCGGCTCTAGGTTTTATCATTATTTCAAGAGATAGGGGCATTGTTTGGATCATTTATGTATTGTTTCGTGAGCCAACAACAAACGTTGTTTGGACAGCTTAAGGCCTGCCCGGTTTTTATACCAAGTGGTCATATGTTGCTCACCAAGGCAAGGTACCATGAGGGCCCCAGCAGGTGACTGATTCTGAGTGATTATGGTGTCTGCAATCAGGTTTTTATAAGGAGACAGTCTCCCAACCCCCATTTTGGAGGGGCAGGGTTTAGTCTTCCTACGGTCCCTACCTCTCAGCCATTCCGCCAGGGTTTGACTTACCACGGACCGAGGTGTCAGCCGGCATAGCTTTAAGGGTCATTGAAACAGATTTAACAAGTTTCACCAGCACCACAAGGTGCCAGCGATAAGTGTAGAAGCATATCAACGTGCCGAAAGGAACTTCTTACGAGTCCTCAGACTCGATTGCATAATTAGGCCTTGTTCACACTAAGGACAAAATGACATAACGACATTATTGCTTATGTCGGTGATGTGAACATCGACATAAACCCATAAGGAAAAGATAAGTTTTTTCCTTATGCCGTTATGCTCATGCTGTCCTGTTGCTATTACTGTGAAACCCAGCGTTACGGTCACCTCGTTATTATGGCCACTTTATTTTGTCCGGAGAAATGCCCATACATTTTGTGATAAGAAAACCCCGTTAATGCGGCCACCCCGCTGTAATACAGCCAACGGCCACATAATGAAATCTTAATCTGTATAATACACTGTAACTCCGCCTTGCGGCAACTCCGTTAATACGGCCACCTCGTTATTACGCCACTTCATTCTGGCCCGAAAAAAAAGCTTAGTCAGTCATTTTCTTATCTAAAGCAACCCCGCTGGTGACCGGATCAACGGGGTTCCACTGTACTTTATAATTTTACCCCGTTTATATGGCCACTCAAACCAGCTACATGTTCATCTTTCCATTGTTAATATTTTACACACTGATTCGAGTTTCAATTATTTTAAATTATATCAGCATTCAGCATGTTTGGAAGTGTAATAGTGATATACCTGTTAACATGTCACTCAATTTAGACCAGTCATGAGGTTTGACCCTACCCCGTTAATAATACCGCCACACTGCAAACATAACGACATAACGCCCCTCTCATGTCGTTATGTCGCTAGTGTGAACTAAGCCTTACAGTTCAAATATATCAGTTACTGGAAGTAAATAAGAAAGACAGCTAAGGAACGGGGTGGTCGAGGTGTCTAAAAATGGAAAAATGCTTGTGGAAAATATTCTTCTCAACATCCTCCAACCCTGCGCCTGTAGTTTTTTTTGTTTTTTTTTTGTTTTTGTTTTTGTTTTTTTGTATTTTATTTGTTTTTGGGTTTTTACAGTTTTTACAAGTACACACTACATCACAGATTCTACATGTATAAATATATATTGCACTATTCTATTGTACAAAGAAAATACACTACACTACACCACAAGAATAAAAGAAAGAAAAACAAAAAGGGGAGGCATCGCGTATTGATATAAATAATAAATAGTTCAGCTATTGTTCAATCAGTTGAAGGAGGGGTTTTCATTTGTCATAATGGATCTGAAGTTTGTTATTCTTTGTGGCTATAAATTACGTTCTGTTTGAAAGGTATTTTTAATTCTTTCGAAAAGTGATTTAAAAGATAAAGGAGTCTTATTGAGCTTGGTGCGATAAATAAAATATTTACTTTCTAGTACAATGTAATTAAGAAGGATTCTGTCATTGTCATGATTAGGCGCATCAAAAAACAAAAAACAAAAACAAAAAACAATATTTTTAACATCAAGAGACTTAAAAGTTATGCCCTGTGAATTTAACATGACAGTGACTTCATCCCAGAAGGCGTGCACTCTTGGACAACAAAATAACAAATGTTCTAAAGTCTCTAACTCCTTTCCGCAAAAATAACACAATGGGGAGTCGACTTTCTTGAATTTAAACAACATATCGTTTGTATATAAAATTCTATTTAGTATTTTAATTGAAACTCCCTTAGTTTAGTATACAAAGTTGTTTTCAAAGGCAGTAAATAAATCTTCTCCCAATCAAGTTGGAAGGTGTCTGTGTTGAATTCTCTGTCGTATTTTTTCATTTGCAGTTGGTTTACAAGATATCTTAGACAAACGTCTGGTACAATGATTTTGAAAAGAGCTTCTCTTAAGACTTTTTTTTACCATCAACACACAGAGAG